CTTTTTTCTTGCATGGTGTTTTTCTAAATCCAGATGTTTCTTTGTGCTGCACTGATGTTTCTTTGTGTGACTGAAGACAGTCTAGGATCCTCTGAGCAGAAGAGAACATCATGGTGTGCTGCTTTCTTTCAGTCTTCACTAGAAGTTTAGTTCAAGGTCCGTGGGAAATTTGACAACACAGAACCAGTGAAGCCTGAATGTTTGTGACAGATTGATTCTGACAAACGAGGAGACAGGAAACCTTCAAATGAAAAAGCAAAAGAGAAAAATATCCCCCGCTGCCTTTCATGTCAGAGTTTTAGATTCAAATCATCTGATGTTGAGAAATGACAAAGTTTGAGTCATTTTTGTGTTTGATAAGATTGTTTTACTGTGGAGATCGTTTAGAGTCGAGTTGAGTCCAGAAGTTAATCAGTTGTAGACGAACATCCAGATTATTTCCTGAAACTTTGAATTAATTACATTTATTGATTCATGGAATAAGGAGCGGCACAGTGGAGCAGTGGTTAGAGCTGTTGCCTCACAGCAAGAAGGTTGCAGGTTCCCTTCCCCCCTGGGGTCTTTCTGTGTGGAGTTATGTTCTCCCCGTGCATATTTTGTAAAAACTTAAAAAACACATGAACACACACACCACCACAAACAACAACAACAACAACAACAACAACAACACCAACAACAGTCATGTATCATATCAAACAGTTGTGAATCCTGCTGTTCACACTGAAAGTGAACGCTCTGTTCCTGACACAAATCCACTCGTGAGTTCAGCTGACACTAATATGAAGCTTCAGCAGTCTGACACTAATTCTGTCTGCTTCTTCCAAAGTTACACACAACTGAGAACAACATCCCTCTGACATCTGGACTTCACTTTGGACCTTTGGAGACAAATGATCACATTTCTTCACAGACACTTGGACACATTTTCATATCTTTGGTTTTATGTTCAGATAAATCCCAAAAATCAATTAAGTAAAATGATCAAACTGAAGTAAAGAACTGAAAGTGAATTTAGTGAAAAACAAATTGTCATTTAAATCACCTTAGCTTTTCCAGTCTACAGTTTGGACTCTCCAGTCCAGCAGACAGAATCTTCACTCCTGAATCATCGAGGTCATTGAAGCTCAGGTCCAGTTCTGTCAGATGGGAGGGGTTGGACTTCAGAGCTGAGGCCACAACTTCACAGTGAGTCTCTGAGAGTCCACAGCCAGAGAGTCTGTCAGGACACATAAAAAGAAAATGATTTCATCCTGATAAATGACCAGTTCTGTTCAGATTAGAAGAGAAACCAGTTGAACTCTTCCTGTTGGACTTTTTTCCTTCACTTCAGAGCTTCAGTTCATCTTCTCTGTTTGATGGGATGAAATATTTCTCATCAGTGTCTCTCGTAGCTGCAGCTTTGTTCTGCTGTCATTGGGGGGTGAAGGGAGGGGTCCTTGTTGATTATTGTCTTCAGTGTTTTCTGCAGGAACCAAAGCTGCTGGTTTGATTCCAGTCATGTCTCTCTCTGTCCTCTGTCCTGTTTATTAAACCATCAGAGTCCAGTAAAGACTGATGAGTCTGACATGAGACACGAGGAACTGGAGGAGTTTTTCCTCCAGGACATCAGCTGGGTGGAACATGTTGGAAATAATGGGACTGATCTTTATGCAGGAACACAAATAATGTTGCTGTTGACAGTTATATGTCTGCTTTAAATCATCAGGTTTACACTCACATCTCTTTCATCATTTATTATTGAGGTTTAGCTGTTTGGTTCCTAAAAGGCTCTGAAATTATAAAACAAAAGATTTTTAAATAAACTACTCATATAAAATGCACAAAGTTACTTTTTACCTGAAGGTTAATAAATAAGAAGAATTACAATGATGATCTGTTAGTAAAACATTTATTAAAGATGAGTAAAATGAAAGATGATCTGCAGTGGAGCTCTGCAGGTAACACAGTCCCAAAGGACAAGAGAGAACAACTCAGTTCTCAGATGTTTGTTCAGATGTAAGTGGAGCCAAATAAAACCAACCCCTCCTGTGTGTGTCTGAACATGTGTGTAAACTGTGTTTCCTTCAGTGAGCTGTAGAAGCTGTCCAGTGTGGACGTGGTGAACTTCTGCTTGAGAACAGAGTCACACTGAATGTCAGTCAGCTCCAACTGAACATCTGCAGGAACATCTGCTGTGAAACTAAAGCAAAGATCAAAGCAGCTCAAGGTCTGCTTCTAACTCTGTGACGTCTGAGAAACACTGGTTGAACTCAGCGTGGAAGTCTGTCTGACCAGTGACCTATCTGTCACTTTGACTGGAAGTTACATCCAGAGTGACCAGTGCTGGAAAAGCTGGGAAGCATTTGTTGGTTTGTTGTTGGGAAACAGCTGAGTTTGACTTTGAACAGGATGTAACTCTACTTTCAACTCACAAGACGTGACACGATACTCGGTTCAAAGATCAAAACAATCCTGGACTCTCAGAATGAAACAATCCTGGGTTCACAGAAACACACTCGTTTCTCAGGAGTCTTTAAGAACTAAGAACAGTTCTTCAGTTCTACATGACCTTCTAAAGCTGTGTGACCTTTGAAGTCAGGGGGGTCAAACTCATTTTCACATGGAGCCAAAAATAAAACCATCTTCCAAGTCAACGGTCAACCAGGGTCAATATGATTTGAAAAGTAATAAATAAAGAAATTTTCCATGTTTTCCTGATGTTTCTTCTTGAAAGATTTTCTTGCAGAAATATCATCTATAGATCCAGTTTCTTTACCTGATTCTCCTTCATGGCTTGAAGGGAGCTGCTACTTATCTCCAGAAGATGGAGGTTTGAAAGATGGGTGACACCCTGGACAGGTCTCCAGTCCATCACAAAGACACATGGAGACAAATGAGACAACCATTCACTCTCTCACTCACACCTAGGGACAATTTAGAGTCACCAATGAAGCAAACCTGCATGTTGTTCTGTGGGAGGAAACGGAGTAAACCCAAACCTAAAACAGATGTTTGATAGATGCAGAATCTATTTTTAATGTTTTACTCTGCATGACAAGTTACCTTACAGTTTGTGTTTCATTTGACATATTATTCATTTAGAAACATCTCACTGTGTTTGTACTTACAGAGCTTTGTTGGAGGCTTTGAGAACTGGCAGCAGCCTCAGAAGATGCTCCTTTTTAGCAGAATATTTATTCAGGTCAAACACATCCAGATCTTTTCCTGATGTCAGTAAGATGAAGACCAGAGCTGACCAGTGAGCAGGAGACAGTTCATCTGTGGAGAGACTTCCTGAACTCAGAGACTGTTGGATCTCCTCCACTAGAGAACCATCATTCAGTTCATTCAGACAGTGGAACAGATTGATGCTTTTCTCTGCAGACAGATTCTCACTGATCAGATTCTTGATGTACTGGACTGTTTCCTGATTGGTCTGTGAGCTACTTCCTGTCTGTGTCAGTAGGCCTCGTAGGAGAGTCTGATTGGTCTGCAGTGAAAGACCCAGGAGGAACCGGAGGAACAAGTCCAGGTGTCCATTTGGACTCTGTAAGGCCTGGTACACAGCACAAAGGTGGAGATATTTTAGTTTTGGTTTCTTCAAACCTAAAGACATCTTGGCTTTAGTTTCCATCAGATTGAGTCCAGAGTTGATGAAGGTCAGATGGACATGAAGAGCAGCCAGAAACTCCTGAACACTCAGATGGATGAAGCAGAACACCTTGTCCTGGTACAGGCCTCTCTCCTCTTTAAAGATCTGTGTGAACACTCCTGAGTACACTGAGGCTGCTCTGATATCGATGCCACACTCTGTCAGGTCTGATTCATAGAAGATCAGGTTTCCTTTCTGCAGCTGCTCAAAAGCCACTTTTCCCAGAGACTCAATCATCTTCCTGCTCTCTGGACTCCAGAGTGGATCTGTCTCAGCTCCTCCATCATACTTGACCTTCTTGACTTTGGTGTGAACCAGCAGGAAGTGGATGTACATCTCAGTCAGGGTGTTGGGCAGCTCTCCTCCCTCTCTGCTTTTCAACACGTCCTCCAGAACTGTAGCAGTGATCCAGCAGAAGACTGGGATGTGGCACATGATGTGGAGGCTTCGTGATGTCTTGATGTGGGAGATGATCCTGCTGGCCTGCTCCTCATCTCTGAACCTCTTCCTGAAGTACTCCTCCTTCTGTGGGTCAGTGAAGCCTCTGACCTCTGTCACCATGGCAACACACTCAGCAGGGATCTGATTGGCTGCTGCAGGTCGTGTGGTTATCCAGAGGCGAGCAGAGGGAAGCAGTTTCCCCCTGATGAGGTTTGTCAGCAGCACATCCACTGAGGTGGACTCTGTAACATCAGTCAGGATCTGGTTGTTGTGGAAGTCCAGAGGAAGTCGACACTCATCCAGACCATCAAAGATGAACACAAGCTGGAAGTCTTCAAAGCTGCACGTTTCTTTGGTTTCAGTAAAGAAGTGATGAACAAGTTCCACCAAGCTGAACTTCTTCTCTTTCAGCACGTTCAACTCTCTGAAAGTGAATGGAAACATGAAGTGGATGTCCTGGTTGGCTTTGTCTTCAGCCCAGTCCAGAG